CGGGATCTTGGGCACACACACACTCACACACACACACACCCACGCCTAGCATGAGTTTAAGCCACCGGGTCCGGGATGCAAACGGCGGTCAACTGCGTGGGAGTCCAGCGACATAGCCATTACGCTAACTGCTGGTCCCGCCTCTCCCAATTTTAGAGTGCATTCCAAGTCTTGAAACATCCCCTTCCAGATATGGGTCTTGAAGGTGTGCTATTATGTGTGAAGATTGAGAGTTAGAATTATTTTGTTCGTTCTATAAATTAGAATACACCTAAAGATTCATCCAGGTGTTGTCATCTCCCATCCATCTGGATTGATTCCCCCGAACCAGCAGAATTTGCAGAGTTGCTGAAAGAAGCTCCAAGGTCCAAGCCGATGCTAGCTGTGGGAGCCCACTGGGCCATAGAAGCCCGCCATCAATGAACACCTTGGTCTCAGTTTGCCTCTACTGACAAGAGAGGTCTATGTTCTCTGTAGACTTTTCTTATGGAATTATTTCCTGGTTTTCCCCAAAGTTTGTTTTTAATTTATTTCTCTCTCTCTCTCTCTCTCTTTTTTTTTTCTTTAGTATTTTTAAAGGTTTTTGCCATAGGGCACATGGACTTGCCAAAGAGAGACAGAGAGAGAGAAAGTGAGAAACACATCCCAGGGGGTTGGCCATACCACAGTCCCTTCTCCTTCATTCTTCTGGAATCTTGGGCATACACACGTGCACATGCACACACACACACACACACACACACACACACATACTTGACGTGAGTTTAAGGCCACCAGGTCTGGGATTCAAACTGTGGGAGGCCTTGTGGGAGTTCAGCACCTTAACCACTATGCCACCTACTGGCCCTTATATTTTCCTTTATAAGCAATTCTTATTTTTGCCTTTTTAACTTATTATTGTGAAATGAAGACTTGGTAAAGGAATTCTTGAGCCACTAAATTTCGTGGATTAAATTTTTGTCCAGTACAGTAACACATCCGTGATAGCTCCGAACCTTCCTTATAACCCTGCGTTTGTGTCACCCCACAGCTGGTCATGGTGGGTAACCCTGCCACAAACCCACAAAAGACCAAGTCGAGCATTATTCAGGAAAAAGGGGTTTAAATGATAGGGGATGAATGGCTTCCAAATGCCTACGATTCATTAGAAATTTATTCATAGTTTTTGGAAAAATTATCTTCAAGTACTATAAATTAATGTCTCAGGGTTTTTTTTATCTTTATTATTTTTTTATTTTATTCATTGTCATTATTTTATTTTATATTTTTGAAGTTGACCAGAGAGAGACAGAAAGAGAGAAGGAAAATGAAAAAGCAAGCTGCCAGGTCTCGCACACAACCCGCACCCCGCCACAGGGGAGCCCAGCTGCCTCAACCATCACACCACCTGCCAGCCCCAAGGTTTTAAATATAGGAATTTCTAGGGGCCAGGGATGGAAATGCAAGTATTTGATGAGATCCGAGTATTCTTTCTTGCCTTGTGTATTTTTTTGAATATTTACTATGTGCAAAGCTATTTTTTAATAGAAAAGAATACTTTCTGTTGAAGATATTTTGTAGCTTTATCAACAGTACTAGGGAGAAATGTTCCCCTGTTGAAATATCCATTTTGTAAGACAAATAATAATGTGATTGACTGTATGGAAGAAAATGAAATAAAAAAAATTAAAAGAAAAATAAAAGAAAAAATTCTTAAAAGTAGAAAACAAAAGAATACTGTCTGTGTGTGCATGCATGTGTGTGTGTGTGTGTGTGTGTGTGTTGGGGAGCAGGCAGGACAGATCTCTTAGCTCCACCACTTCCACACATTTCAGAAACCTAAATCAATTTACTACTTCAAAAAAAGCCATGGTGGGGCCTGCAGTTAGCGTAATGGCTATGTCGCTGAACTCCCACGTAGCCGATTGTGGTTCGAGTCCCGGACCCAGTGGCTTAAACTCATGCCAGGCACATATGTGTGTGCATGCTCAAGATCCCAAGAGGAGAAGGGAGGAGAAGGGATTGCAGCGTGGTCATCCCCCCTGAGGGCTGATTTCTCGCTCTCTGTCTCTCTCTGCCTCTCTCTGTCTTTTTGGCAAGCAAATCTTTGGGGTTTAAGTCTCTTATAAAAGTCTGTTCCCTAAGCAAAAACCTCTCCTAAAAAAAAAAAAAAAGCCATAGTTTTGAGAATTAGCCTCTGGATTCCTAAACATTGCCAACTGTTTTGGAGAGGGTATTTGCTTGTTCAGACTATCCCAACAATATCCCACAGGTAGGGTTTCGAGAGGATGGAAATCAGAGATCAGGGTACCAGCATAGCCCGGTTCTGGTGAGAGCCCACTTCCTTTGGACAAATGTGCCTTCCACAGGACGGAAAGGAAGAGAGGCAAGCTCTCTTGCATCTCTTCTTCTAAGGGCCATGACCCCATCATGAGGCCCACCTCACAGCCTCTTCTAAGCCTGCTTACCTCCCAAAGGTGCCATCTCTAGACGCATCACACGGGGTTAGAGCGTCAGCATAAGAACATCGCAGGGACACAGTCCTGCCCGTACCACAGTGAAGTTACAGGAAGTGACCAGCTTGGGATTAAGGAGAAACAACCTCAACATTTCCCTTTGGTGGTGCCTGTTTAAGAAAATTATTCTTCTCAGGGCCAGCAGGTGGCGTGGTGGTTAAAGGCACTGGACTCCCACATGGACGACCACAGTTCAAGTCCTGAACCTGGCGGGTTGCCTTCTCACTTTCTGTCTCTGTCTCTCTCTGATCGAACTGGCAAATAATAATAATAAAAAAAGTCAAATAAAATAATTCTTTAAAAAAAAAGAAAATTATTCTTCTGTGTGGGAAAATTACTTCCTTTCCAAATTAAAGCCAATGTAAAATGGATTATTTTCATGGTGGAACCTTTGGAAACTTCATAGTGTCTGTAGAATTCTTGGGCGTGTTAGGAAGTGTCATTTTTTAATGTCAACGTAATCTGTCCTAGCACCATTCCCCTGGGAGCAGATCAGATTCTTCTTCGAGGTGCTCAGTTGAGAAATACGCAGTGGGTTCATGGAATAGTTGTCTACACTGGACATGACACCAAGCTGATGCAGGTAAGATTGTTATCTGTGAAATCTTTGGGGCTTAAGTCTCTTGTAAAAGTCTTGTTCATAGCTCTCCGTGCAGTGGGCCCAAACAGAGCAGACCATGTGCTGTAGATTCCTGAGTCTCACCCCACACAACCAGAATCTGCTACTCCAGGGAGAGGGGCCTGGAACTTATGTCCCTGTAAGACTGACTCCCTACACAAAGGAAATCTCTGGAAAGTCTCACCAGAGACCACACAGGGCGTGAACTCTCAGGATTTCGTGTGCCGGTCCACTGGCAGCCTTACTAAATACTGTGGTCAATTGTTGCATGTTCTCTCTGCAGTTCTGAGGACTTTGCTTTAAAGTATTTGCCTTATAAGTATATTTTAATGCAGAAATCAATTTTTTAAAGATTTGTTTTTTATAAGATTCAAAGAAAACACTTGTGAATCAAAGAGCCATTCTCAGAGTATTTCTGTGTCAGGCTATTTTGCATGCACTATAATCCCAGCAGTAACGTCTATGCAGTCCTGAGGGTGCTTCTTCTCTGCCCTATAACGTACACCATCAGGCTTCGGTAGTTCCAGGTGGATGTGAGAAGCCGAGTTTTAGCACGCTGAGTGAAAATCTGCTGCTATAAGGGCTAGTCCCTTCGTACGTTGTACAGGTATGAACGATGTAACCCTCAGCAGGCAAGTGGGGCTTTTAATGATTTTACCCTCGCCGTTCCACAGCCCATCATGCCATGTCAACATTTGACACTGAAATGACAGGTTTAATTTTCTGCCCTGTGGATGCCTCGCTTAGCTCAACTCAACAATAACCACTTGCCTCATCACATACAAAGAAGGAAACGGGCCTCTGTTTTTCATTAGAGCCAGAACTACTTGAGTTGCTGCTGTGTTCAATAAAACAATTGCTAATGAAATGCCCTCAGAAATGTAAAAATCAGAGACCCTTTAAATGTTGCCTTTGGAATTTCCTGGTGCCTGCTCCTGGGCAGCTAGGCCTCCTCTGCCTCTCTTCTGAAGCTGAGATACTCCCTAGATGCTTCTAGACTACCCTGTTTGCTTCAGTAGCCAAACAATGCCTTTCCATTTTGTTGGAGGGTAACCGAATGAATGACCACCAAACTTAGATTAAGGTTAAAGGGAGTCTTTGTTAGCTGGCCAGCGACTACAGCCTGAGGCTTGGAGGCCAAGAGTCAGAACTTGCAGCCCCGACCAAAGTTTGAGGAGTCTTTTTATACGGGTTCAGTTATTAGGGTTTTTTATGTAAACAGCTATAGAAGTTGAACCAAGTAGGCTAATTATTTTTGAGGGGAGTAGGGTTTCCATGTAAGTAGTTACGTTGTTAAACAAAAGGATTTTGGGCTAGTTAGCAAAGACAGTAGTAGGTACGGGATGTTGTCTCGGATATGGTTTTCTATATGGCTAACACAAACTATTTTCTCATTTAAAAAAAAAAAAAAAGTTTACAAACAGATAGCCATGTTAAAAAACAAAAGGGGAACCAGCAGTTAGCGTAATGGCTATGTCGCTGGACTCCCATGTAGTTGACCGCGGTTCGCATCCCGGACCCGGTGTCTTAGAACTCACGCCGGGCGTGTGTGTGCATGCCCAAGATCCCAAGAGGAGAATGGAGGAGAAGGGATTGCGGCGTGGCCATCCCCCCTGAGGGGGTGATTTCTCGCTTTCTGTCTCTCTGTCTCTCTCTGTCTGTCTGGCGAGCGCACGCGCCCTGTAGCAAAAACCTCTCCTAAAAAATAAAAAATAAAATAAATAAATAGACAAACAGTTGTTCATATACAAGATCTAACATACGGTCTTCCACAATTCACCTGCCATATGTAAAAGCTATGTTTGCAAAAGAAATGCTATTCCCTTCCCTTCTTCTTTCTCATTAGTTTACTTTTTAGAAAAAGGCTTGAGTGATACAGCGGCCTCAAGAAACAGGGGTGGTTAGCCACTGAGACGTCACTGTACTTGTCATGGGTCTTGCTTAAGGTCCATGTGTTCACCCATGTCTAAAGGTTGAGTTGTGGCTTACTCTGTCATCCTCACCCAAGTACGACGTACACATGCCTTTATTGTTTCTGTACTTTTTTTTCGTTACTCATGTTGTTTCTTTTTACAGAATTCAACAAGCCCACCACTTAAGCTCTCCAATGTGGAACGGATTACAAATGTCCAAATTTTGATTTTATTTTGTATCTTAATTGCCATGTCGCTTGTCTGTTCTGTGGGTGCCGCTGTTTGGAATCGAAGGCATTCCGGAAAGGACTGGTATCTCAACCTAAACTGTAAGCAATGCAGTATTGACTTGATTTTTTGTTTTTTCCTTTTATTGAAACACCTATTTATTTCGCAATTGTTATTCTGTGGAATAGCTTACTGTTTCTGAAAAGAAGACCTTGTTACCAAGATAGCTTTATTTTTAAGTGATATTGCCAGCAAAAGTAAGTAAAAGTTTAGAATCTCTAAAATTTCAGACTTCTTAAAAATAGAAGCACTCCAGGGACCAGCAGTTAGCCTAATGGCTATGTCACTGGACTCCCACGTAGTCTACCGCAGTTCGAGTCCCAGACCTGGTGGCTTAAAACTCACGCCGGGCGTGTGTGCGTGCATGCCCAAGATCCCGAGAGGAGAATGGAGGAGAAGGAATTGCGGCATGGCCATCCCCCCTGGGAGGTGATTTTTTGCTTTCTGTCTCTCTGTCTCTATCTTTCTGGCAAGCACACGCACCCTGTAGCAAAAACCTCCAAAAAAAAATTATATAAAAGTAATTTTATCCAGTTTAATATTTAAGTTTATTAGCCCTTAGTCCTATCCCTCATATCTTGGAACTTTCTGTTTGGAACAGAACGTGCAATCATTTATAGTATGGTCATTTTTTAAAATTATTTATTTAATTTTATTTGTTATCATTATTATTATTATTTTATTTGACCAGAGAGACAGAGGGAGAGAGAAAGGGATAGTGAGGGGACCAGCAGTTAGCGTAATGGCTATGTCGCTGGACTCCCATGTAGTCGACCGTGGTTCGAGTCCCAGACCTGGTGGGCTAAAACTCACGCTGGGCGCGTGTGCATGCATGCCCAAGATCCCTAGAGGAGAATGGAGGAGAAGGGATTGCGGCGTGGCCATCCCCCCTGGGGGGTGATTTCTCGCTTTCTATCTCTCTGTCTCTGTCTGTCTGGTGAGCGCACACGCCCTACAGCAAAAACCTCTCCAAAAAAAAGGGAAAGTGAGAAAACAAGCCGCCAGGTCCAGGACTCAAACCATGGTCAGCCATGTGGGAGTCCAGCGCCTTAACTGCCACACTACCTGGCGGCCCCAGTGTGGTCATGTTTTAGTATTCTTATTCAGCTCTTAATTGGATTCACAGCCTACTGAACACAAATCATGGCATTCCATCTTGAAGGATGTTTTTGAGAACGAGGATGTGTTATCAGCAAAGTATTTCTCTCAAATTATCTATGTATGCTATATTATATGGAAAATTCTTGTTATGCTAAATTTCTCGTTAACACAATAAAATATAAAGCTGTAAATGCCATTCTCCCCCTCTCCCCCAACAGATGGTGGTGCTAATAATTTCGGACTGAATTTCTTGACCTTCATCATCCTTTTCAACAATCTCATCCCTATCAGCTTGTTGGTTACGCTAGAAGTGGTGAAATTCACCCAGGCGTACTTCATCAACTGGGTAAATATGAATTATTACTGTTTGTCCTAACTGCAATCCTACACATTTTATCTTTTCTCCTTAGGCTAGAATTTGATCTCTTAGGGAAAAAACACATGAACTTTATTATTCCTACCTTTGATTGACTACAAAATGATATTTTTGAGCTTAATACAATGATAATAATGTTCCTTATCTGATAATCACCCTGCACGGGCCAGATATCCTGGGGGAAACAGGTCTGCCATGCGGGAAGCTTATTTTGGGGTACATTGTGGTCATGGGAGAAGGAAAAGCATGAGTTCGGGACTAACCTGTCCACATTACGATTGTGGTATAGTAATTTATTAGGCAAGTGAACTTAGCCAGGTCACTTAGCTTCTCTGAAATGTACCTTCTTGAGCACTAATGCAAGGATGATAAAACATACTTGACCCACAACAAGCTCGTTTGTGTGGGTTGAGAACTCTCCTGACCTAGGAATGAACTTCATAAGCAGGTAAAGCACTGTACAGATAATACTGGATTCGCACCAGTAGCAACCAGGTTATCGTGTTTCTTAACGTAAGTTTATTTTTCCATTCTGTAAACCATTTCATTCGTGCTCGAGTTTTTGTCTTTTTCTTAAATATTTTTAGAATATTGGGGGAAATATATTTTAAAATAAAATATAAACTATATTATTCTTATAATATTTTTGTTTTTGTTTTTGAGGTTTTTTTTTTTTTTTTTGCCGTAGGCCGTGGGCACTCTCACCAGAGAGACAGAGAGAAAGCAAGAAATCACCCCCAAGGGGGGGATGGCCATGCCGTAGTCCCTTCACTGGACTCCCATGTAGTTGACCGTGGTTTGAGTCCCAGACCCAGTGGCTTAAACTCACACCGGGCACGTGTGCATGCATGTCCAAGATCCCAAGAGGAAAATGGAGGAGAAGGGACTGCACGTGGCCATCCCCCTGGGGGATGATTTCTCACTGTCTCTCTGTCTGTCTGTCTTCCTGGCGAGCGCACATGCCCTATAGCAAAAAAACCTCTCCAAAAAATATATTAAGTAAATCTCTAGGCCTAATCTGCCCAAAGGCTTAATTTTTTAGAAACTTTGGTATGATTTTTTATGTTTTTCTCTTTTAAATCATCTTAAAGCCTTTTGATGTGAACAGTATTAGGATTTTTTAAAATACGGCTGATGGGAGCCTGCAGGTGGCATGGTGGTTAAGGTGTTGTGTTCCCACATAGCCATTCATGGTTCAAGTCCCAGACCTGGCAGCTTTAAAATCATGCTAGGTGCTTAAATGTGTGCACCAAAATCCCAAAACGAAAATGGAGAAGGGATTACACTGTGGCCATGCCCCCAGGTACTTTCCCTCTCTCTGCCTCTCTCCAGCAAGTACACACACACACACACACATACCCTATGACAAAACAAAACCAAAAAATATATATATTTATATATATATGCGTGTGTGTGTATCACATATATAATATATATAAAATGTATATGTATACATTTGACTGATACTTTTGCAACTGATCGTTGCCTTCTTAGGGTAAGTGACCTTCCTATACCATCTCTCTCTTAATATGTCAGTGAAAGATCAATGACTTAAAAAATCTCAGGCGAGCTGTAGACTTACCTTGCTTTATACAGAAATCCGTTATGTATAATAAAATGTATACAAAGATAATTAAAACCTACTGAAGGTTCTCAGAAATAGTAACTCATTGTAAAGATGAAATGACTAGTGAATCACTTTGTATTTTATTTAGATTTTCAAAAATCCTATTCACTTTGGATCATAAAAAATAGTCCCGTTAGAGTACTGCAGCAGGCTTATGTTTTCAAACACCTTTCTCAGACACAGAGATCTTAAAACATCCCTGACAACTGGACTCTGGTTTCCCAGTGTTCCCTCATGAGGCAGCTGCCTCTTCATGTGAAAACAGGATTAGTGGGACCAGCAGTTAGCAGAATGGCTATGTCGCTGGACTCCCACATAGTTGACCGCAGTTCGAGTCCCAGACCCAGTGGCTTAAATTCACACCGGGCGCGTGTGCGTGCGTGCCCAAGATCCTGAGAGGAGAATGGAGGGAAAGGGATTGTGGCGTGGCCATCCCCCGGGGGGTGATTTCTTGCTTTCTGTCTCTCTGTCTCTCTCTGTCTTTCTGGTGTGCGCAGGATCCGGCTTTTCGGGGTGCTCAGGAGCCCTATAAAAAAAAAAAAAAAAAAAACCTCTCCGGAAAAAAAAAAAAGAGAGAAAACTGGATTAGTAAATGTCTCCTTTGGATTCTGGCTCTGCTTAATGTATTTATTATGACAATATTTAATCTTCTGAATGATGCCATGAGCTCCACTGCCATGCCTTTTCTTCGATTCTATCTTTTTCTACCTACTAATAAATCTCTCTCATCTGCTTTCATTGCTGCTGTTGTCACGTGACTTCCAGATTAATCTCCACCCTGACTTCGCTTCACTCCTCTTAGAACGTATTGGTTAATATCTTTCTCAAAACATGACACATAACACTCAATAGCCTATTTCGGAAATTAATCAGTTCAGAATACAGACGGGGAGAGGTCCCGTGATTACATTTTGGCCTTTTCATTTGACGTGTGACAATCTGTGGACGACAAAACCCTGACTGCCCATAAAGTAGTCTCCGATAGAAAATACTAGAATTTGTAGGCTAACATAGCCAGGCCTCGTGATTACTGAGTGTAAAGCAAGAACAAATAAATACAATTTACGTATTTGTTTGCCTTGTGAGAAGCGTATTGGTTTTGCTTTAAAGTATATATAATATTAACATACCACCTCCAGAAAGTATTAGGTTGTTGGGAAAAACGTGTCATGACTTTCCCAATGACCCAATACAATCAGAATCTCTGGGGTAATTTTTGGTTGACATATTATTTGAGCGATACGTAGTTGCTATGTCCTAGCTCATGTCATGAAGCACTTAACCTTTCCTCTTCTATTTAGTTTTTGCTGTACGGCACATGTCCTTGCAAGAGGGAGACAGAGAGAGGAAAAGTGAGAAATTAGAGGGATGGCCACGCCTCACTCCGTCTCTTCTCCTCCTGTCTTATCTCATGATTTGGGGCACGTATGCACACAGGCCCATCATGATTTTCAAACTACGGGGTCCAGGACTCCAGTTATGCAGCCCACCGTCTGGGATGTCGTACCTTAGGCTCCACGCCACCTGCTGACCCTAAGCATTTACCTTTGTCTTGCACAGTTGGAAGCACTTTTCCCATATTATCTTCTTTTTATCTAATTTTTACAATAGATCAGTTATGTAGAAAATGATGGCTTGATGGTCAACCCAGAGTGCTTGCTTCCAGAGACAGGTTCCCACTACCACAGTGTGCTGCCCCACCATGAAATATCCTAATGTATACTGAGCAGTTTCAGGGCAGGAGAGCGGCGTATGGGTCGAGAACAAATAAGACCAGTTGCATCTAGCTCATTAGTTAAAGAGTGACTTCCTACAGAATGAACATATTATTTTCTTTTAAAATTTCACCTACTTCCCTATTACCAGTTACATTAAAAGATTCATTTTAATTTCTTTTTTTTTTTTTTTTTTTTTGAAGGATCTCGACATGCACTACGAGCCTACGGACACTGCTGCCATGGCCCGAACATCTAATCTGAATGAGGAACTTGGCCAGGTACGCTCAGTTTCCTGTCGACGTGTGTTGAGTTACAAGTCGGATTCCATGCAATGTCTGGCTTATATCTGGTGACTGCCAATGAATCAATGGCTCCTCGTTTTCCATTCTTTGATTAACAACATAAATATATTTGTTACAACATGACTAACAATTTTCAGGGTTTTTTAAAATTATTTTTATTAAATTTTATTCGTCATCATCATTATTATTATTTTAATTTGAACAGAGAAAGACAGAGAGAGAGGGAAAGTAAGAAAGCAAGCCACCAGGTCCAGGACTTGAACCGTGGTCTGCCATGTGGGAGTCCAGTATCTTAACCACCATGCCACCTGCCAGCCCCACAGTTTTCATATTTAGTGAATGAAGTTTTAAAAACAGTGCTTAAAGCAGATTATACTCTCAGGATAAGGTATCTCACAAGCCTAGGGATGTCCTTCAGCATATAGTCTGATTAGTATGTAAAATACTGTCTCTTTTTTTTTTGAGAGATTTTCGCAGTAGGGCACATGTACTTGCTGGAGGGACAGAGAAAGACAGAGAGATAAAAAGCAAGAAATCACCCCCCCCCCAGGAGGGATGGCCATGTGCAATCCCTTCTCTTCTTGGGGTTTCGGCCATGCACAGACACACACACACTGGTGTGAGTTTTAGGTCGCCAGGTCTGGGACTCGAACCATGGTCAACTATGTGGGAGTCCAGTAATGGAACTATGACTCCATCTTGGTGTTCCCAAAATAACAGCTATGTTGAGTCCTAAATATATTATTAGAGTTGTTCTTGGATTCCCACGAGGAAGGTGGGAATTCAAGTTCATTCATAAAGCCATATAAGTCGAATCAAATAGAAACTTGAGGTCTATAATTCATACATACACATGCTGGCTGAGACATTTTTTTCCTTTTTTGTATCTGTGCCATCTGCAATGCTTAGTTTTTGTGCAGATCTATCCTTTTGCGTATTGATTCAGGTATTGTGTAAAGTTAGGTGCGCAAGCTGTCACCACTTCTATGAGCTGCTTGTTATGTTAACAAACACTGGACTCCCATGTAGTAGACCACAGTTCAAGTCCCAGACCCAGTGGCTTAAACTCACACCAGGCACATGTGCATGCGTGTCCAAGATCCTGAGAGGAGAATGGAGGAGAAGGGATTGTGGCGTGACCATCCCCCCAGGAGGTGATTTCTTGCTTTCTGTCTCTCTGTCTCTCTCTTTCTGGTGAACGCATGCGCCCTATAGCAAAAACCTCTCAAAAAAAAAAAAGAAAAGAAAAGAAATGCCGGCATAGGTGTTAGTAACTCTTTAAGTGTTAAGTCACAGTAGTGTCCCTTTCTAGAGGAATTCACACCATACCAAGACATATTTCCATTTACGAAGTTTTCTCAAGTATCTTAATAGTCTATATTCATATATGAAGGCATTTATTGCTAAAATATTTTTATTGTTAAATATGTATCTTGATAAACGTGCAGAAAGTAATTAATAACACCTATTGTGCCCCTATCCATGTAACAATTGGTAAAAAGCCCAATAATTAAAACCATTGAAACAATTTAAGGGGTTTTGTGCCTATATATTGGGTTGTCGGAAAAGTCATGATGTGTTTTTGCATGAAAAAAATACAATAAAAGACTAGCAGAAGAAGACTTTTGAAATATTAATGTATATTTTAAAACTTTTTTTTTTAAGGTTAAATACATATTTTCTGACAAAACGGGTACCCTGACGTGCAATGTGATGCAGTTTAAGAAATGTACCATCGCCGGAGTGGCTTACGGGTGAGTTTTTTCCTTTAGGTAGTGACGTCGTTTGGTATGTTTGGGAATTCATATCGAAGAGGGCTTGGTTTGTTCATCTGAAATGCAGGTATTTCCATTCCAGGATACTTGGAGATTTTTGTATGTTATAGTCGATATTGTTTTCATTTAGGATGAGCTGATGTGAGGGCCCACCCAGGAGCTTCGTAGTGTTTTGGGTTACAGAAGGTCCTCTCTGGCCCTGATAATAAGGAACAAATACACTTCCCTCTACGCTGCGGAAGGTTAAGAATAGCGCGGATGTGGGGATGTGGTCAGGCATGCTATCAGGCCTGGGGCCGGTTTTGTCAGAAAAATGTTTCATTGACGTTACTCCTTTTACGCCTTTTTTTTTTTTTTTTTTGTAACTTTTATCAGCTCTTCTTTTTATAGTCACAGGGCTATCTAAAATTCTGATGAAGGGAAGAAGGGAAGAATGTGAAACTCTTAAATCTGGAGGATAAGAAGTGTCATCAGAAACTTGTCAAACTGTCGTCCTGTAGCGCGTGCTGGCTGGGTACATGTGATGTGTCTCCTACACCAGGGATGCTTAGCTACACTGGTCACTGGCCAGCTCTTTGAAATACTTCACAGGGTGATAGGAGACAATTAAGCTCTAGGGTTTCTAGAAAAGGTATTGAATGGGAAAAAAAAGGGACCAGCAGTTGGCGTAATGTCTGTGTCACTGGACTCCCGCGTAGTTGACCGTGGTTCGAGTCCCGCATCCAGTGGCTTAAGCTCACACCAGGTGCGTGTGCATGCGTGCCCAAGGTCCTGAGAGGAGAATGGAGGAGGAGGGATTGCGGTGTGGCCATCCCCCCAGAAGGATGATTTCTCGCTTTCTGTCTCTCTGTCTCTGTCTCTCTCTCTCTCTCTCTCTGTGTCTTTCTGGTGAGCGCGCGCTCCCTATAGCAAAAATCTCTCCAAAAATAAAAAAAGATATTGAATGGTTGAATGGTGAAATACTCCCATGGTTGATTGACACTGGCCTGTTACCAGCTTCAGTTTTGTTATACGTGGGAGACGAGTGCATTGGTCTCTGACTCATCCACGCATAGAAACTTGCTTTTGGGTTTTCCGGCTTACATTCACTCTTCACCACTGGCCCCTGTCTCTGAGCAGTAAGGCAGGACAGAGTGCTGCATTTTCAAAACGCCTTAATTAAAACGATAAATATGTAACCATTTCATGAAAAATTCTAGAAGTGGATCATTTCTCCTCGGTATGCTTGTAATCTGGGTTAGTTAGAGAGTGTGACTAAAAATGACTTCAAACTACACGTGTAAATGAAGTTCGAAAAAATAGCTACCCAAGCACGGTGATACTCCGTGGTAGTCCCAGTTCTTCAGGAGACTGAAGCAGGAGGATTGCAAGGTTCAAGGCCAGCCTGGGCAATGTAGTTGAGACCCTTGTTTCTAAAAAGAAAGTTGGCTGGTTGAATGGTCTTTTCACACTGTAAAGGCAGGCTATTCATTTCAGAAGAGTTCTTAACTGTTCCCTGGACTGGGAGCTCTTTCACTTCCTCCTCCTTTATTAGAAGGTTCTCCCTATTCCCTTGGCCTGAGGAGGCTCTCCTGGTCCTCCGCACTCCCCACCCCAATCCCCATTTCCACCTGAGCAGGAGAGCTACTGCCAGACTCTAACATTCCTACTTAAATTTTCTATCCATTGTTATCCAAAGGAGAGAAGGAAAGGCCTATTATTCTAGAATTTGTATTATTATTGCAGTTGGATGGATGATACTGTTTGTTTTTATAGAGTCTGCATTCCTTCATAATATGATTTCTACAGCAACCTTTTTAATAATTGACATCTTTTTGTACTTTGTTCAATTTTCAATTTAATAAGCAAATTCTTCACGGTAATACTTACTCATTGAAACTGTCAGAACAGAACGTTAAAATAAGATCCAGCCTCTCTCTCGTCTTTAAAATAAGTTCCAGCCTCTCTCTCGTCTTTTTTTTTTTTTTTTTTCTTATTCTTGGAATGGCTCCTTAATATTCCTAGGCAGTAGTTCTAAGAGCAGCGCCCTGTGTCTGTGGATGATATCTTAATTAACAACTGTTATCAGATAGGGTGGGTTTGAGCTGTGTATTCTCATTATTTAGACTTAAGTTGCCAGTGAAGCAGATTTCCTCTTAGGGAAAAGCCATTTCTGACTGAGGAGGTACAGTCATAAGGCATGAATGCTAGCTTTGTCCGGGATTCACCATGTGACCCTACACAATTCCTTTTCAGATACTCCCAACTATGGGAAGACCAGATGGTCTCTACCGTCCTTTTTCAGATATAAAATCTGACATGATGTTTAGAAATTATTGAGTTGTTGGGGGAAATCATGGCACATTTTTGCATAAAAAACATAAAAATAGACGTCATGATTTTCCCAGCAGCCTAAGCAAAACAAACAAACAACACACACACACACACATACACACACACAAAACAGAAACAATAGTTTGCTTACAAATTTTAACTGTGTTTACAAAAGAATCTTTTTTTGCGATCTTGTATCATGTTTTCAAGAATACCAGGAGCCGGAACCAGCAGTTAGCATAATGGCTATGTCACTGGACTCCCACGTAGTCAACCGCAGTTCACGTCCTGGACCCGGTGGCTTAAAACTCACGCCGGGTGCGTGTGCGTGCATGCCCAAGATCCCGAGAGGAGAATGGAGGAGAAGGGATCGCGGCGTGACTATCCCCTCTGGGGGGTGATTTCTCGCTTTCTGTCTCTCTGTCTCTCTCTATCTGTCTGGCGAGCACATGCGCCCTATAGCGAAAACCTCTCCAAAAAAAAAAAAAAAAAGAGAGAGAAAAAAAAAAAAAGAATACCAGGAGCCATGTTGAGTAGAGCTAGTGGTTAAACTGCTCCCAATAGTCCGGTATTGCTGTGTATGTGCTTTGAGGCACCGTCAACCCTAAGTGAGTTCTTACCGACGTCCTCTCCCTCCACACATATTGGACTGTCCTGTTGTCAGTGCCACAGAGAATTGGTGACACATCAGAATTTTAGCTTTTGGAGAAATCATGCCTTCTGACTGACTGCATGTTCCCTGTAGGAAACAAACACAGCCCTTCTGTTTAATTCCAGCCAGTGTCCACAGCGGAGAGGTGAAGAGAAGAACCATCAACCTCCTTTGTGGAGATTTCCTCTGGACACTCCCCGGTTGTAGGAACCTAGGCAAGGCACTCATGTGATTTTGCCATCCCGCCTGCCCCACCGCAGGGTTCCACCATTGTTACTTTCATACTGGGAATTTTCAGCCCCACAGAAGAGTGCAAGGTGTCCCTCTCCCCAGATGGCAGCGCTAGAGAGAATAACCCATTCACTCAGATGCAAACAGATGCCTTTGAGGTTATAAGGTTGGGGCTCATTCTTTTTATTTATTTATTTTATTTATTTATTTTTTTGTATACACTTTCAGTCGTATTGTTTGGCTTACAGTGAGACCATTTCGATATGTGCACATTTCTCCCCAGACCCGTTGATCAAAGTATCTTCAGCAGATAATGCCACACCTCCCCATCCCGTCAATGCTCAACCTCTGTGTCCCTCCTCCAAATGTCCTTCGTTAAGACCCACTCTTCAACATTCAAAAGAATTAAGATTAAGCTCAGATGTATCCTAGAGACAAGAGTGAGTTTCGTTGTGTTTTAAGCACTACAAGAACACAATGTGAAGTCTCCTGGTAGTATAATCTTTATCTATTTCTGTGTACCCCATAGGTTGGTAAGAATGTAATAATTAACACCTAAAATAATGCCTCACTATTTCATTTTAGTGACTTTCTCTCATTCTCCTTAACCTTCGTCCTTAGTGTCATGATAGACAACAAAATAAAGAAATTTGTACACAGGTGGCAACCACGATTATTTTGGAGAGATCAGCTTTGTGTTCGGGATGCTCTGTGCTTACATTTTTTCAATTATTTCATTAGATCTTTTTCCCCACAAGAGAAAAAAGAATGTTTATTGAGAGAAAGAACGCCCCGGGGTCTGAAGCTGGAGCTACTTCGGCCTCACCCTACCAAGGAGATGTGATGTCATTAGATTTTTAGTGAGATACCTGTAGCTAAATGTAATGAACTGTGATATCATTTGTAGATTTAACGTATTATTAACTTGATACTCACAGTAAACATTTATTATTAAAATATCATTTTAGCAAATTGCTTCCCGTAGGGAATGAGATAGCTTTCTCAGCATTGAATACCAGGAATAAATAATCAGCCTCTATTCAGGGCTCAGGTTCTCAAAGCAGTAAAGATTCTGGGATGCAGTCCTAGATACAATATTCATGGATAAGTTAGACGGAACCAGGTGAGGCTCATCGTCTTTTGAGGCTAAAACATTCTGTTAAGCAAACGAAGCAGGGCTTCTCCGTGGGAAAAGTGTTTGATTATTATTAAAAAATGTATCATGAACATTTTCCCTTCTATAAAAAACAAAGGATGTTCTTAAAAGCACTGTTTCTACTTGAGTATTATGTGACTCATTGTTCTTGACAGTATTTCATGTAGCAATCTGTTTACTGGAAGGAGGGGCTACTTTAACTCTGAGAGGAGACCCATCATGAGAGATCTCACAGTTACCAGAATGTTCAGCCTCATAGGTCTAGGGCATCCCCAACAGCTTCATTGACTCTTCGCCATGACTGGTGCTAATGTCAGTAAACACCATCACTTTTGCACTTAATCGGCAAATGTTGGTTGGTCGCCTTCTGCGTATGACAATTGGTTTGATGATGGAGGTAACATAACCAGAGAAAGATCGCAGGGTTCCTGCTCTCCTAAAGTTAATAGTGTAATTGGGGCCTAATGGATGTTAGCTAAGTAATTATAGACACACAATTTCCTTACGCAGTCGGAAGGCCTGTGTGTGTCTATTGGGTGCCTTGTCTAACTGGAGGCCTGGAAGTGGCCTCAGGGAGAAATGAGAGTTAGATGGCAATCTAGAAATGAATTTGATTAAGGTAGGAGCTTCTCAGATCCCAGCACCAGCTGTCGAGGGCAGACAGCCACAGGTCACACGGAAACCAGAGCTATCGCGAGTGTAGGGAGACTTGAGCAGACAGGGCAGGGACAGGTGTGGGGGCTGCCTGCTGCTCTTCCTGTCCTGGATAGCGCTCAGCCTTCTGTCAGAGTTACAAGGTACTCTGACCATTGAACCTTGATACTTTTAAGCTGCACGACTTAGAAAACATATGCTCCTGAGACCAGCAGATGTGTAATGGTTACATCACTGGACTCCCACATAGTCAACTGTGGTTTAAGCACCGGACCCAGCAGCTTAAAACTCGCGCCGGGTGCCTGTGCATGCGTATTCAAAGTCCTGAGAGGAGAACAGAGGAGAAGGGATTGCGGCGTGGCCATCTCGCTTGGGGAGTGATTCCTCGCTGTCTCTCTGTCTGTCTGGCAAGTGCATGCACCCTATAGCAAAAACCTCTCCAATAAATAAATAAAGTTGGGGCTGGAGTCTAAGCTCCAGGTTGATCAGTGATAATAGCCCTAAGCACTAGGCTGCTGCTAGTTTCCACAGAGCATGCAGCAGGTCAGCTCCTTTTCCGCGATTTCAACACCAAAGGGCTTGGTTACCCCTTCTCTTAGCACCTTTGAACGCTCTCCAGTAGGAGAGAGAAGAGTGCATGAAAGGCTCCACCTCCACGGTGATTGGGGGGAGAGGGGGGATGCAGTGACTGCCACATTGGATGCAGTTCAGTATTTGGGAAGTGGAATGAGGAGGTCCCTGTTATAGCCAAGTTGATGAAAGGGAAAAGAGCGGGGTGGACACGTAGGGAGTAAAAGAATCCCAGTCACTTTCAACAAGATGTATAGTCTGTTTGTCTAAAAAATGACTTTATATTAGCATTGCATTTTAGAACTCTACCAATATCTAGTAAATTTAAAGAAAAAAATTATTGAGTGATCGTATATAGTAATAGCAATGGGACATAAGAAAATCTGCTTTGTCATGTATTATGCTTTGTCATGTATTAAGAGGCTCACAATAACCTTTTCTGAGTCACAAGTGGTTGGCTGATGGAATGAAATACGATCAGACATTGATTAGACTTTCTAATACCCAGCCAAGCTAATGGATGAAACCAAAGCATTGATGAATGTATTTTCTATTTTAGGTAAAGAATGGTTTAGGGAATGAATGGTTTAAATGAAAAGTTTTGAGCATTGGTCTTTGAGTATGTGGTTCCAATTAAATTTTATATTGGTGTACCTTTTTAAAGAACTATCAGTTCATGGTAGCCCAAGTTGCTTCAGCAAATGTATCAGGTGATAGTTTGTACGTAGATTTGAGCATATTTGTTTCATTAAAATGCTTTATGCTGAATATGCAGTGTATATTATTAATTTCCCATTCACTTTAGCATGTATTGAAAGAGCTAAGTCCAAATATTTTTTTTTTTGCTGAATTCTGAATTCTGAGCATGAAATCAATTTGTTGAGAAGAGGCGAGCTGACAGTTCAGTTACAGGATGACTTTGTAAACCTGCTTGGTTACCCTAACTCACCATGCCCTGCTTACTGTACTAACTGCCATTCTTTCAGATTCAACTAAAAGTTCATTTTCTTAACATCTTTTAGCAGTTCCTTTATTCATGGTTTTGTTTCCAGCCTTTCTGTGATTATTTTTCCTCTGTTTCTATCCTTCCTCTTGCTTTCTGAAGCCATGTCCCTGACCCTGAGGATTATGGCTGCTCACCTGACGAATGGTAAGCCGTATGCACCTGTAAGTGTCATCCACCCCTTTGAAAGGTTTGCCTTTTATTGTTTTGTGAGACACATTTCATTACATGGGTAAAATGGATTATTGACCGGGTAGGGTAACAGTGCTGTGAAGTTGGTATTTCTTGACATCTGTTGAACATCCTTGATTTTTCTACTGAATAGTCATTTATGAACATTCAGTAAAAAAAAAAGTTAGTGTTTTACATGATTTACTGATGTTGGCAAATCATGATGCATTTTTGCATGGACAAAGAGAAAAATCATCATGACTTTGCTAGCAACCCAATAGCTAGAATACAGTCTAATTCTGGCGTCTCTAGGTTGTAGTAAACTTCAGTTACCTAAGATTTCAGTTACAGCTCTTGAAGCGCTTAGGGATTTTTCAATTTAAGCTCAGCACTGCCACCTGCTGCCCTACTAACATACTGAAACAGTCCGCAGAGTTCCAGAACAAGTTACTGAGGCATGCATAGGCAGTAGAGATTTCTTTTCCATTTCTTTCCATTATGCTCATAAGTCTGTGGGGGCTAGAAAATAAACATGTTTTAATGGCATGCCCAGGACAGTCTTGGAGAATTATGCTCCCAAGGACTAGAGCTAACTTGCGTAAAGACAGCATTTTATAGGTTTAATTTCGCTACTTTCTGAACTTTTTGTTTTACAATGCCACCTCTGTGGACTTTAATTTTCAACTAGAATAATGTACATTTATTTTGCTATGTCTATAATTTGTCACAATTGGGTGACCAATAAGATGTCAGAAAACAGGTTCCTTTAATGCTAGTGACTTTAGAAAATATTGCAACTTGGAAACCAGCAGTTAGCGTAATGGCTATGTCGCTGGACTCCCACATAGTCAACTGCAGTTCACGTCCCAGACCCGGTGGCTTAAAACTCATGCTGGGCATGTGTGCGTGTGTGCCCAAGATCTCGAGAGGAGAATGGAAGAGAAGGGATTGTGGTGTGACCATTCCCCCTGGGGGGTGATTTCTCGCTTTCTGTCTCTCTGCCTCTCTCTGTCTGTCTGGCGAGCGCATGCGCCCTATAGTGAAAACCTCTCCAAAAAAAAAAAGAAAATATTGCAACTTCACAGGTGTTACATTTTTATTTTCGGGTCACACATGTATTTTATGATTAAGTTATGTGTCCAGTGTGCGTTGAAGTCTAACAACATCATTTAATATTTCCCAATGTGGAACTTATTTCAGTGAAGTGGTTTGGGTGAAAATGTGCAGTAAACCTCATAATACCTGGGATTCATGACAGAGGCAGCTGTTTGGGTCATGTGACAACTTCTGAATCCTGACATGGTTGTTGCTTGGAGTGTCGCTATTCGACACACAGATGATTTTTGGTATATTTTTTAAATGCACCAAAGTATCTATTATTGGTGGGTAATTCAGAGTTTTCAGTTTTCATATTGTGTATATTCTGTTTTATTTATTTTAGTGTTTAAAAGTGCAGTTAAATTATTATTATATATTTGTATTTTTTTCTGTAATATTAACATAAGTTTAATTTTTAACATTGTAGCTAGTGTGAAATTGATACACATTTTCTCCAAGAAAGATACTCATAGGACTAGCAGGTAGTGTAGTGGTTAAGGCACTGGACTCACACATGGCTGACCATGGTTCAAATCCTGGACCTACTGGCTTGAAACTCACTCTGGATGCATTTGCATCCATACCCAAAATCTCAAGAGGAGAACGGAGAAGGGATTGTGGTGTGGCCATCCTTCTGGAGGGTGATTTCTCACTTTCTCTCTGTCTCCAGCAAGTGCACACCGCCTATAGCAAAATATCTCAAAAACAAAACAAAACAAAACAAAGACTCAGTAATTCCTAATAGATGAAAGTGATCTATACCATATTTTTCCGAAGATTAGATGGAAATGTTAAAAAGTGGTGGTCATTCACTCAGATCATTTAAAATATCCTACTTGTGGGACCAGCAGTTGGCATAATGGCTATGTCACTGGACTTCCACGTAGTCAACCACAGTTAGAGTTCCATACCCTGTGACTTAAACTCACACTGGGTGCATGTGTGTGCATGCCCAAGATCCCGAGAGGAGAATGGAGGAGAAGGGATTGCAGCGTGGCCATCCCCCCTGGGGGGTGATTTCTTGCTTTCTGTTTCTCTGTCTCTTGTCTTTCTGGCAAGCGCATGTTCCCTATAGCAAAAAGCTCTCCAAAAAATAAAATAAAATAAAAAAATAAAATATCCTACTTGTAACAGAGGTTGTTTCATGTCTTTTATCACTGTTAGAAAAAGAAGATATTATATAAACCTTAGTAAGTTCTTTTTTGCAAAACACCCTTTTGGAAAAGTTGATATTTGATATTCTAACTAGGTAACTCTAAATTTTAAAATGCCAATTTTTTTCATAAATTACACATCTCTAGTGTTATTTACATATAAACATAATGATCTTAACAAAACACCACAGAAGATGTTTGTCACCTTTATGATAAACTGAGCTTTATTTTAAAGCTACGCTTGGATTCTCCATCTATAAAATAGTAACCCGTGGGTCTGCAGCAATGAAGGGTCAGATGCTTCTTGAGCTTCTGCTGTCTCCAGGGTTATGTGGAGTGGTCAAAGATGTGGGTTTTGGATTGTGACCCCCCAAGTTCAGATCTTGGTCCCATTATTGGGGCCTTGAGCAAGCTCCCTGCCTCACTTCCTGAGTGTCCACACTGGAAATAATGTGGGTAGTATTAGTACTAAAGTGATCGGAAGGTTTCGAAGATTAAATGAAATTTATTTTCGAAGTGCTGAGGATCCCGCCTGGGCATAGCGAGCCCACAGTGAGTGCTACTCTGGAGGCTCTCGCTGAATCCTCATGAGAACATGTGACTTGGCTGTTCTAAAGTTGATGAAATTTAGGGCAGAGAAGCACATAAGTAATTTGCCCCAAAGTCTACAGCCAGTAAATACGAGACCTAGAGGGACCAGCAGTTACCATAATGGCTATGTCGCTGGACTCCCATGTAGTCGACCGCGGTTCGCGTCCCGGACCCGGTGGCTTAAAACTCACGCCGGGTGCGTGTGCATGCGTGCCCAAGATCCCGAGAGAATAATGGAGGAGAAGGGATTTTGGCGTGGCCATCCCCCCTGGGGGGTGATTTCTCACTTTCTGTCTCTCTGTCCCTCTGGAGAGCACACACACCCTATGGCAAAAATCTATCTCAAAAAAAAAAAAAAGGTTATCTCCAATAAAATGGTTTTTATCAAAAGACAAAAAAAAAAATGCTGGTAAGGATTCAGAGAAAGAGGAACTCTTGTACACTTTTGGCAGGAATGTAAATTAGTAGGGCCATTATGCAAAACAACATGGCTGGTCCTCAAAGAGCTGAAACCAGCCCTGCCCTGTGATCCAGCAGCCCAGCTCCCAGGCATGTCTCGGAAGAGGAAGACGAGTGTGTGGTCGTGACAAGTGCACATCAGGGTGCCTCGCTAGTCACATGGCCAAGGCAAGGAAGCTACCGCAGTATCTATCAGTGAACAAATAGCTAACAATATGTAGTACATTGTGTACTGCCCATGCGTGTGCGCGCACACACACATACAGTGGAATATTGGCTCAACTGGAAGGACCTGCTCAATTTAAGTGAAATGAGCCAAGCACAGAAAAAGAACCACGTGTTGTTATTAATATATGGAAACATGTTTTAAATAACTTCATAAAAGTCAGGAGTTGGAAAATGACGACTAGAGGCTGGGGAAGATGGGAAGGACAGGGAATCGCAGGGTTTTGATGAATGGACACAAAATTATAGAGAAGAGAAAATGTCTAATGTTATAAAATACAGCAGGGTGCAGACGGTTAATAACGAATCGCCGTGTATTTCAGGGTAACTAAAAGAAAGGCTTTCCACTGTTTCCAACACGAGGTATTGACACACGACCGAGACAGCGGATAGACTCGTGACCCTGATTGAATCCATACACAGTTTATTTCTGTATTGGAAAGGCACACGGTACCCCACAAATACATGCAGTTATTACATGTGAAAACAAAATGTGAATGAGGTTGTCTTGTGGGCCAACCCTCTGATGGCATCTTCTTTTTTTTTTTTGGAGAGGTTTTTGCTGTAGGGCGCATGCGCTCGCCAGACAGACAGAGACATAGAGACAGAAAGCGAGAAATCACCCCCCAGAGGGGATGGCCACGCCGCAATCCCTTCTCCTCTATTCTCCTCTTGGGATCTTGGGCACGCACGCACACACACCTGGTGTGAGTTTAAACCACTGGGTCTGGGACGCGAACCGCGGTCGACTACATGGGAGTCCAGCGACATAGCCATTATGTTAACTGCTGGTCCCCTGAT